CTTATCTTAATCAGTTGTTTCAATTGAACATTCATGTTTACACATACTTTATGCATATGCTAGAATATATAATACATCATATTTATATACAATTTCTGAATATACTTTTCCATGTATTCAGTTTAATTCTTTTTATATTTACAATCTGTAGCGATATTCATATTTTATATAAATTCACGTTTGCTACAAGCATGTTTGCTGAATATACAATGTTTAGAAAAATGTATTATAATTCGTAAATGTATATTTGGCAACCGGGCTCTATAAATAAGGACACTTTTTATTCCTCTGTTTGAAGATACGAAAGATAACGTGTCGTAAATTTAGATAAGCTTCAATATAATTCTCAGCGTAAATTTGTTGAATATTTAAATATAAGTAACACCACCAGCCACTCGAATGACGCAATGTCAACGATATATCAACAAACGTGATAAAAAGATCCGAGTGTTAATTTACCTTGTGAAATAAATCTAGATCAAAATATGCAATAACAAATCCAATAAGTTCTAGAATAAGTTTATAAAATTCTTAAAATGTGCGAGTAAAAATTTAATCTATATATCTTTCCATTGTCTCCTTCTGACACGATAATGGAATTTATTTGTGTAAAAATATAATCTTGTAATATTTAACGAAATATCTGTCTGTCAAGTAGTTTCCCCATTGTTACAATCAGTTAAAGCTCGATAGCTTGTGCATAAATCATATATACTATGCTTACGTAGTCTTATCGATTTGTCGCATTTCATTGCCGCTTTTTATCTATCGCATTTCGGCTTAAAAGATGAGTCTATCTTCTAATCCCTCACATTCATCGTAAATACGTGAAACGATAACGCGCGTACTATACTTATTTAGCTTTCACGTATCACGACCCAATTTCAAAATCCATCGACTGCAACAAAACAGCGATCGACTGGCACATCACAATTCAGTTGTAGCCACTCCCCAATATTGTTGCATTCTCGTCGCGTCCTGCTCCAACGAATCTAATCCGTTTCTTTCTTGAATGACAGCGAAATCGTACTCGAGATTATACGGCATTAGCCTCTGTAGACTGCCGAAATAAGCTGCATTTGGCCCTCCGTTCAGTAATCTTCTTCCACTGCCAAATCGAACAATGGGCGGTCTCGGTAAAGAAGGATTAAAGGATCTGGCACTTCCAAACCTCTTCGATAGAAAAGGCAAATTGCTAGTTAATTGAGGCGTTGATCTCGATTGGCCACGTCGTAAAGGGGTTCTCGTCAGAGTGTCCAGTTCCTTGTCGAACAGCAGTTGAGTGTTTTGTTCCAGCATGTATTCCCAACAACGGAATTGCTCCTCACTTAAAGCGCCGGATCTTTCAGACACAGTGTCCTCTTGAGCCATTAAGCAGGTAGATACCTTTGTGACATTTCATTATACTGCCATTTAACACGATTTTTAATCCACAATTTTACTTTATCATACTAACATGATAAATACCTTGAATATGTCGAGCTCACAGTTCAAGAAAAAGAGAAATATATTCGGTTACCTTTCCCGTGCCATTTTCGTTCACGAGAACATTCTGCCGAGCTTTGTTCGTGGCTCTGGATGCGGCGTTCCCGGACCAGACTCTACCAGAAGGATGCCTCGATTTGAAGGTACTGTCGCTGGCTTGATCGGATTGACCGCTCGGTGAACTCCTGTCGTCCTTGTACGGTGGGCTTTCGTTTTCCTGCGCCGATCGACGGTTCTTGAAATATCTGCCGGATCCGTTGTGAGCTTTGTTTGACCTACGCATTGTAAAATCGTTCAATCTTCTCGCTTACATTTACATTTATATATCGTTCGTTAAAAGATGACTCTGTGCGAACCGCAACATGCATCGCAGTTGCTTTTCACAGGTCATTCTTTTCAAACGGATCCTCTTTAATTCCTGTTTGCCTAGTTCTGCTTAAGCATTTTCTAGAATTTCTGTTATTCTATTCTCACCTATTCACTATGCTTTTCAACACGCCGTTCAAATAATAGCCTTCGTTCGCGTGACAACAGCAAGGTCCCGGCGGTTTGTGAGCCGCAGGTGGCACGCAACAAGCACAAGGACATCCGGCTTCTGTTTGACCTCTGTTCTTTCCAACCGCGTGTCTCAGTTCCCTCATCAATTGATCCAAATCACCCTGATTAGGTCCAGTCAGTCGTACCACCACGATGCTCAGATTGTCCTCCGCGCCGTAGGCTTGCGCCAGATCTTGAAGTCTTTTAGCCGCCAAAACAGGGCTGGCTTCAGCTCTGGCCTCCCGAACGGCTTCCTGAACGCTCAACACTTCCCACAATCTTCTGTTGCCGATTATTACAAACTCGTCATCGTCTTCTAGGTCCACTTCTTCGAAGGTCGGGTCGGGAACCACCAGAGGGAACATGGCCGCGTTACCTAATTGATTTTTCACAGGGACCTTTTTCGAAGTTGCCAGAGTCAACGGGCCAGCAGCTCGACAGAGAACTGCCTTTGCGTCACCCGAGGTAGCCACCTTCAACGAATATCTCGCCGACATTTTCGGGTATCCTTGTAGCGCCTGAATTCGGACAATGTGCACCAGAGTGGCGTCGATCCCGTATTTTTGCCCTTTCTCCTTCAACTCTCTGTGAGCGGACAGTAACGTGTATTTTAAGTATTCCTTGGACGTCTCTCGTACGGTCCTCTCTTCCAGCAAAAGGCGCGGAATCATTTCCTGGAGCGCGCACGGCGCCTCTTGGTTCGAACCGCCGTCGAATATACCGAACAGACCCTCCACGTTACAGAAGGATGGCATCCGAACTTGCGACACGTACAATCTGTGCATACGAGTCACGCGATTATAAGTTTTCCCAAGTATCTTGTCATATCTATTCCACTG